TACTTGGGAGGCTGAGGCAGGAGACTCGCTTGAGCCCAGGAGTTGGAGGTTGCTGTGAGCTGTGATGTTATAGCACTCTACCCAGAGGGATAGCTTGAGGCTCTGTCTCAAAACCCCCCCCCCCAAAAAAAACCAATATATGTATCATAACACCACAATATGGTTTATCTTACAGCACTCGACTGCCAGTTTTTCTAAAATTCAAACTCGTGGAGACTAGTTGGTTATAGGACCATCACAAATGTTAACAGAAACAAGACACTAAAGCCAAGAGTTCTGCACAAATGCCTGTCATCTTCTGCACAAGAGCAAGCACATCAAGAACTGCAGTGCTTGGCCAGGGACAGTGGCTTAATGCCTGTAATCCTAGCACTCAGGGAGTCAGAGGTGGGTGGATTGCCTGAGCTTCCAGGTTGGAGATCAGTCTGAGCCAGAGCCAGACCTCGCCTGTAACAGTAGTTGGGCATTGTTGCAGGTGCCTGTAGTCCCAGTTACTTGGGAGGCTGAGGCAAGAGAATCACCTGAGCCCAAGAGTTTGAGGCTGCTGTGAGCTATGACTCCATGGCACTCTACCTTCCCCCTCAAAGAAAAATAACAACAAAAAACACTGCAGTGCTGTCTGATATATTCCTTACCTGGAACTTCTCCAACTCGAGGGTCACCAGAGCCTGAGCTTGAGCCAAAGGTGCATGGCAGCGTTCAATGCACTGGTGTACCTGCTGCATGGACGCCTGGCTGTCTTCACAGCAGTTGGCGCTGCACCGGAACATGAGGCCCTGGGAAGAGAGGGCAAGTGGGGTTAGGTTGGAAGGCCTTTGAGGACAGAGATGATCACCGAGCAGTCAGAAGACCTCCCTCTTCACCTTCTGCTGTCATGTTCCCTAAGAGTAGACTCCAGGACATCACAATTACGACCGGGGAAAATTTCCTCGGGGTCTTGCAGAGTGTCCCATGGCTCCTTACTGCTGGCTCACTGGCACTTGTTGCACGGATGGCTTGGTGGATAGGGAAGGTGGGGGGTGGGTGTCAGAGGACACGTTCTGAAAACCAGGTGCCTGGACCCTAGGGTTTAGTGGTGCATCCTACCAGAGGGCAGCCGACCCATTAATTAACGACTCAAGGAGCACTACGTGTTAAGAGAAAGCCACGATTGGGTGGGAAGCAGGACCAACACCACAAAACACGCAGAAGGTGCAGCAGAACCGCACGTAACCAACGCTGTGTGAAGCGGCGCAGCAGCAGCGGGCACGACCAGGCCAGTGAGAGCCTTCGCCTTTCGGCTTTCACCTGGGCCACCTTTTCTGTGCCTCAGGCTGCTCACCTAAGAAAGGGCCGTACCTGAGGCGAACCCCAGGGCTTCGGACTGCGGCACCTGGACGCCCCCGCCCCAGGCAGGATTGGGTGGGAATGGCCTTGCACACGGCGGGAGCGCACTGATTTCACTCTATGGGTCAGAGCTTCGAAACTCCATGTGAGGGGAGGGGTACCGCCGCGGCCACCCTCGGGACGCGCAGACCAGGTCTCCGGGGAGAGCGGCCGCAGGGCCAGACGTCGCGCGGCGGGCGAGGGAAGAGTCTGGCTCGGAAGCCGCTCAGGTACCTGCATCTTCCGGATATTCTCTCTCTCCAGACTCTTCACCATAGAGTCCACGGCCTCCTGCACCCGTACTTGCTGAACCTCCGCCATAACGACCCCGCGCTGCCCCGCGCCGGCGCCCACATGGACTCCGCGCAGGGCCCGCCCCCTCGCTGCCTCTCCCGCCCTCCCCGGGTCCACGCCGCCCCCTGGCGGCCGAGCGGAGCAACTGCATGCTGGGCGGCCGCGCTCGGCTCCCGCTGGGCTGAGGGCCTGGGGCTGGGCAGGTGCACCCCCTAGACTTGCCTGTCCGTCTTCCTCCCCTCCAGCCTTTCCTTCAAAGTCTTAAAACGTATTTAAGTGATTGAAATATAATTTAACAGCTCGATGCCCAGATCTTGGCTGTACAGCATGATGAGCTTTAAACAAACCATGTCCTTACCTTAGCGGTCTCCACTCTTTCTCCCCCATTTCCACCCCCCTGACTCCAGGATCTGTTTTCTGTCACTATAAACGACATTTTCCCTTTCAAGGATTTCATACATACGTGAGTATTCAATATGTACTCTTGTGACTGGCTTCTTTACTTAGCATGATGCTTTTGAGAGTGAGCCATGGTGTTGGTTCCTTTTCGTAGCTGAGTACAATTGTTGATGGGCATTTGGGACTTTTCCCTTTAGTCGTTGTTATAAATAAATCAGTGACATCCTGTGGATATCCTTGAGCAAGATCCTCTGTAGACACAGATTTTCTTTACTTTTGGGTAAATATGTAGAAAGGGAATTGTTGAAATACAGGTTAGTTGTATGTTGTGTTGTTTTGTTTTTTTGAGACAAGAGTCTCACTATGTTGCCCTTGGTAGAATGCCTTGGAGTTGTTGGAGCAACCTCCAACTCTTGGGCTTAAGCGATTCTCTTGCCTCAGCTTCCCAAGTAGCTGGGACTTCAGGGGCCCACCACAATGCCCGGTTATTTTTTGTTGCAGTTGTCATCGTTGTTTAGCTGGCCCCAGCCAGGTTCAAACTCGCCACTCTCAGGGTATGTGGCTGGCGCTGTAACCACTGTGCTATAGGCCACCAAGCCATATGCATTGATTTCTAATAAAAAAAATAAGCATCAAAGGCAAAGCAGGGGCTTCAGATATTCAATCAACAATGAAGCTTTTATGCCAGCAACATGGAACTGTTTCTGAATTCCTAGGACAGTTCTGTCTTGAATGCCTCATCCCCTCAACCCCCAACTTGACTCTCCTATGAATTCATTTATCAGACCAATACTGGACACCTGCTAGTATTGGCTACTGTGCTAGGAGCTGGGATACAGAGGGGTACATCAGTGAGAGGAAAAGGGGCAGATACAGGGGCAATGTTGGAAAAGAGGTGGCACAGGTTGGTAAGAAGGAAGTGAGCCACCAGAGGAACATTTTCTTTTTTTTTTTTTTTTTTTTCTCCCTCCCTCCACCCATTCCCCCGGAACATTTTCTTAGAGGACATAAGACTTGAATTAAGTCTTTGAATTGAATGAAATGAGCTGCCCCTGGCATTTGCTTGACACATGGGGTGAAGAGAATGCCATGCTAGGCATCCAGGATGCCACAAACAAAACAGAGTGGGAAAGATCTTGAAGCTTTGGGGAAGCCACAAGGTAATGTTGAATCTGGACCCTGGAATAGAATGGGGCCCTGTCATGGGAATTAGGCGTTAGCTGTCCTTAGGCACTAGATGGCAGGAGATCTCTAGTCTGAGGGCGGTGGGAAACTTGCCTCAACTCAAGGGTCCTTTCAGAAAGTTGTGCTCTTCCAGAACCAGGTCCTCCCTAGCTCCAGTGCTGGTAACTCCCCAGAAACCAGTGTTCAGGTCTCACTACAAGTGGCTCCAATAGCAGCTGGAAAGAGGGTGATGCCAGCTATTATACAATGTACTGCTGTAGATGCTTTACATGAGATTATCTCATTGTGTTTCCACAGGAGGTGGGTACTTTGCTATCCACTTTTCTCCCACTCAAGGCCAAAAACTGAGGCCTAAGATGAAGCCACTTGCCAAAGCTTGCATATTTAGGAACTGGTAGAGCTAGAATTCGATCCCTGATAGGCTGACTCCAGGCTGTAGAAAGTAGGAAGTATCTGTTGTTGACTGATTTAACATTTATACTTATGTCTCATATTCCACAGAAAATTCTTTCTTCTTTATAGCACAATATGAATGCCTCACTTTTTTTCTTTATTCCAGACATGCCAGACTGAATCTCTCCCACAGCTCCTACCTGTAGGAGCCATGTCAATCTTGCTAAATAAGTTTAAAAGTTCTTGAATAACACAGTCTTGTTAGTTTGTGTGTTAGTTTGTGTATACAGAATGAATGGTGCTTTAGTATATATGAAAAATGATTCCTGACTTCTTGTTAGCTTTGGAAACTAAGTGAGACTGTTCTTCCTCAGGGATTTAAAAAAGTCCCCATCAATCTTCCAAAAAAGTCTTGCCAGAGATTTGAGGAAATAAATTTAGACAGGGGAATGATTATGAAGTATGTAGATGATATTTTGATAGCCAATGAGACTAAAACTGAATAAGGCAACAAGCTATAACTGTATTACATTTCCTAGGTGACAAAGGATATAATTCCTTTCAGAAAAATCTAAGATCTCATTTCTTACCTCTTTGCCAAATACTTGGTGTTTGAATTATCTCTTGGGACTCAGAACCTACTCTTAGATTGGAGGGGTCCTACAAACAGAATAGCAGTTCCTATCTCCTGCAAACAGTTCAAAGTATTCTTGGGTATGCCTGGATTCTAGGGTCAGGCTCGGTTTTGCCAGATTTAGATTTCTTTTTTTTTTTTTTTGAGACGGAGACTCAAGCTATCCCCCTGGGTAGAGTGCCATGGCATCACGCTCACAGCAACCTCCAACTCCTGGGCTCAAGCGAGTCTCCTGCCTCAGCCTCCCAAGTAGCTGGGACTACAGGCGCCCGCCACAACGCCGGCCATTTTTTGATTGCAGCCATCATTGGTGTTTGGCGGGCCCGGGCTGGGGATTCGAACCCGCCACCTTAGGTGTATGTGGCTGGTGCCTTAGCCGCTTGAGCCACAGGCGCCGAGCCAAGTTCTAGGAAAATTGATAACATACCAGCTCTCAGAGGAACAGGCAAACAGGAGCAGGTACTGTTGGTATACCCTCTGAGTACATTTTTTACCTGTGGGGTCAGTGGAAAAAAAACCCCTTTGGGCCTATGATTATTTAAAAAGCTGCATAATGGGGCAGGTGGGCTTAGTCTCGTGGTCTTGCCCCTCTACTGTTCCACCCTGAACCAAGATGCTGCAGTACCAGACCTGGGAGGAGTTCAGCCGCTTGGCGGTGCAGCTCTATCTTGCCGACCCCATGAAGGCACGTGTGGTTCTGAAATACAGGCATTCGGATGGGAGTTTGTGTATGAAAGTAACAGATGATTTAGTTTGTTTGATGTATAGAACAGACCAAACTCAAGATGTTAAGAAGATTGAGAAATTTCACAGTCAGCTAATGTGACTTATGGCAGCCAAGGAATCCTGGAATGTTACCATGGAAACAGAATGACTGACTGGTTTGAAATGAAGATTCTGTTTGTCTGTCCATAGGAAGTAAATATCTTTTGAATTTGAGAAAATGTCTGAACAGAAAATACTGTGTGTAACGAAGTGGACTATTCAAAAACCAAGAGATCGTTTTTTGTATCTTCTTGTTAATGTTTAGAGAGCTAGAAATATAAATGCTTTCCATTATAAAGCCTTTATTTATTTTTGTAAATTGAACAAGAATGTATCTATCTTGGAAACTAGTTGATTTGATGTTGGGTAAAATATATAATTCTTTGATAAATTTGTATTAGTAATTTGAAAATGATATCAAGAAAAACCAGTTCTTCCATCAATTTAGTTGATCTGTCTTTAAAATAAAATTAAATGTAACTATTTTGTTAGATTGATGTATTTCTTTTGGAGAATAAAATTTGTGCTGTTGATGACCAATAAATATAAAATTCCGTAACTAGCATTAACTGTGCACCATAATATACCTGTGTATAGCAGTGTAGTCATTATACCTAAAAAGGTAATTATGAATAACAAGTATGCTTTTCTGTAACCTTTCCAGCTTTAAGCTGTAATTTGTAGTGTAAGGGATTTATAGTAGTATCAGCTTGTTGAGCAGTAACAAACTTTGCAAAATCTGGCTTTCAGTACTTAAAAACAACAGCAGTTATTTGAATGCATGACAGGAATG